CCTGGAGAGGAAGACTAGCTACAGGCCCAGTAAGAGGGAAGAAGCAAGGTGATGGGCCAGGATCAGGAGAGTAAGGCTGTTTAGACTCCAGAAATAATTTGCTTTGAACACAAAGTAAAACAAAGAGCAAAGAAAGTGAAATAAATAAATAAATAAATAAACAAATAAATAAAGAGAGCTATGGATGTAGCTCAGTGAGAAGGCACTGGGTTCAAACTTGGGTACCACAAAAAAAGTTGCAAAAATAGTAACCAAGTTCCTGTATACCCCATACCCAATTTCTCTTTTGTTAACATTTTAATGTTGTATATTTGTCACAACTAATAAAACAATAAATATTGTCTAACTTTTACTCAGTGTTCTTTTTCTGTTCCAGGATACCACATTACATTTAGATGACATATCTCCCGAGACTCATATATTATGACAATTTGTAAGACTTGTTTTTGGTGACCTCAGCAGTTTTGAGGTAGTCAGCTATTTTGTAAAGTACTCTTCAACTTGAGATTGTCCAGTTCTTTTCTCATGGTGAGACTGGCTTTTGATTTTGGAGAGGAATACCACAGAGGTAAGATGACCTCATTATATCATATCAAAGGTACATACTGTTAACATGACTTATCCCTATCCATGTTAATCTTAATCACCTGCCTGAGGTAGTGTTTGTCAGATTCCTCTGCTGCAGTTAATTTTCTTGCTTCTCATATTGTAATTTTTGGAAGGAAGTCAACCTGTTCAGCTCACTTAAGAAATAGAGAGTTAATGTTCATTTCCTTGAAGGCAGAGTGTCTGCATAAATTAGAGTTCTGTATGGGAGCTTTGTCTGTCCATCTCATTTATTAATTCAGCCATTTACATCCATATGGATTCAGGTTTTTATGTTTTATGTTATAATCCAGTACTAGGTTGGTTATTTGATTCCTCACATTTTTTCCAATTTGGCTATTGTAATCTCTTTCTCATGGTTCCTGTGTCCCTTTGACACACGTTATTCAATTTGTGTTTTAGTATTTCCTCACTCTCTGGCATGAGAATACTTTTTTTTTGGTAAGCAGATTTAATATAATTGGGGAAAATGATATAAATTTTAATATAATTAAAGAGCAAAATGTGTACATCAATAAAAGTACATACTCATCATTAAGGCTTTGTATCTTGAATTGTTTTGAATTAATACAGTATTATCCTATTTACAGCTTAACTTCAGCTTGGTTTAGAAATCAGTGAGTTTTTTGTAACTTCACACACATAAGTAAACTTTTACACGTAAGTAAGATATGACAGTCAAGTCAATTTAAATTTACCCACTTTAAAGAAGAAACTGGGATATTATTGTGGATAACTAGGAATTATAGTATATAGAGGACTATTAATTGAATACATTTCTATCCTCCCAGAGAGGCAAATTTATAGTATAAATGATAAAATTTAAAAAGCAGGAGACCTTCAATTTACTTTTAAATGAGAGTAATCTGTAGATTAAAAAAATACTAGAGCCCTTTTAATAGGTGCCTAACCCTCAGTATCACAAAGATTGGGAAAGTAACATCAATCCTCAGTTTTCTACTTCTCAAAAAGTAAATTGGGGGACTGGGGATTTAGCTCAGTGGTTTCACCGCCTCCTTCACAAGTTCAAGGACCGGGTTCGATCCCCGGTACCAAAAAAAAAAAAAAAAAAAAAGTGCATTGGGTGAAATGGTGGCAGTTGTCCAAAACATTTATATGATTAGGAAGAAGCTTTATTTCTCATATTTGTAGTTCTCTTTAAGTATATATTAGTCTAATATTCTTTCAGTTGTTCAGATTTATTTTAATGGTTAAGTAATTGGCAGCAATACAAAAACTTATAAACATTATACAATAGCTATTTATGAAAATATGCCCGACTGGTACTTCTAGTACCTTTCTTCGTTGGGCTCAGTGTGCTTGAACACTGACATTTAGTTCACTTCTCCGTGAACCCA